ATTGGAAGGTCTAAACAACAGAGTAGAGGAAGCTGAGGACCAGATCAGTGAATTAGAAAACAGGGTAGAAAAAAATTAAACAATCAGAAAACCAAAAGGAAAAATTATTAAAAAACAGGAAGACAGCTTATGAAAACTGTGGGACAATTGGAAAGGTAATGATATTCACATAATAGGAGTCCCTGAAGAAGAAGAAAATGTGCAAGAGTTAGAGAATATATTCAAAGAAATAGTGACAGAAAACTTCCCTAATTTGGTGAAGGAAGAAGACATTCAAGCACAAGAAGCACAGAGAGCTCCAAGTAAGAAGAACCCAAATTGACCCACACCAAGACACATAGTAATCAAAATGCCAAAAATTAAAGACAAAGAGAGAATACTAAAAGCAGCAAGAGATAAGCAACAGGTTACCTACAAAGGAACCCCCATAAGGCTCTCAGCTGACTTCTCAACAGAAACACTACAGGCCAGAAGGGAATGGCATGAGGTATTCAAGGTCATGAAAAACAAGGATCTGAATCCAGGACTACTCTATCCAGCAAGGCTATCATTTAAAATAGAAGGTCAAATAAAGAGCTTCCTAGACAAAAAAAAAAAAAGGCTAAGGGAATATATTAGCACAAACCAGCACTGCAAGAAATGTTAAAAGGACTGCTATAATTAGTAGAAAAAATAGAAAGAAAAATATAAACAAACTAAACAAAAATGGCAATAAATAAGTACATATCAATAATCACCTTAAATGTAAATGGAGTGAATGCTCTGATAAAAAGACACAGAGTAGCTGATTGGATAAGAAAGCATGAATTATCTATATTTTCTTTAAAAGAGTTCCACCTCACAACAAAAGACATAGGTTCAAAGTAAGGGGATGAAAAAAATCTTCCAAGCAAACGGAAAGCAAAAAAAGCAGGGGTAGCAATACTCATATCTGATAAAATAGATTTCAAAATGAAGGCCATAACTAGAGACAAAGAAGGCCACTACATAATATTGAAAGGATCTATCCAACAGGATCATATAACCTTGATAAACATATATGCACCCAATATAGGAGCACCAAAATATATTAAAAATCTTCTGGAGGACTTCAAAGGAGAAAACGACAGCAATACAATCATAGCAGAACACTTCAACACGCACTGACATCACTGAATAAATCCTCTATACAAAAAATTAGCAAGGAAACAGAGACTCTAAATGAAGAACTAGACCAAATGGATTTAATAGATATCTACAGAGAATTACACCCCAAAACTACAGAATTCACTTTCTTCTCAAGTGCACATGGGACATTCTCAAAGATAGACCACATGATAGGACATAAACCAAATCTCTACATGTTCAAGAAGACTGAAATCATATCAAGCATCTTCTCAGATCACAATAACATGAAACTAGAAATCAATTGCAACAAAAACATTGAAAGATTTTTGAACACATGGAAGCTAAATAGCATGTTATTAAACAATGAATGGGTTATCAAGGATATCAAGGGAGAAATTAAAAACTTCCTGGAAACCAATGAAAATGAACACAAAACAACACAAAATCTATGGGATGCAGCGAAAGCAGTTCTGGGAGGGAAGTTCATAGCACTACCGGCATAACTCAAGAAACAAGAAAAATTTCTAATTGACTGTCTAACCACACAATGTAAAGAACTAGTAAGAAAAACACAAAGAAATCCCCAGAGCAAGTAGAAGAAAGAAAATAGTAAAGATCAGAGCAGAAATAAATGACATAGAGACCAAAAAAACAATTCAAAGGATCAATGAAAAAAGAGCTGGTTTTTCGAAAGGATAAACAAGATTGAAGGACCCTTAGCTAGACTCACCAAGAAACAAAGAGAGAGAACCCAAATACACAAAATCAGAAATGAAAGAGAAGTAACAAATGACACCAAAGAAATACAAAAGATCGTTAACAACTACTATGAACAATGATGTGGAAACAAATTCAACAATCTAAACGAAATGGACAATTTCTAGAAACACACAGTCTCCCAAATCTGGACTAGGAAGAAAAAAAAAACTTGAACAGGCCAATAACAACAGAAGAAATTGAAGATGTAATTAAGACTTTCCCAGCAAACAAAAGCCCAGGCCTGGATGGCTTCACGGCGGAGTTTCACCGAACTTTCAAAGAAGAACTAACACTGTTCTCCTTAAACTATATCAAAAAATTCAAGAAGAAGGAAGACTTCCAAACTTGTTTTATGAAGCCAGCATAATTCTAATTCCAAAACCAGAAAAAGAAACTACAAAGAAAGAAAACTACAGGCCAATATCCCTGATGAACATAGATGCCAATACCTGAACAAAATACCAGCAAATCGGATCCAGCAATACACCAAAAAAATTATTCACCATGACCAAGTGGGATTCATCCCAGGGATGCAAGGCTGGTACAATATTCACAAATCAATAAACGTGATCCACCACATAAATAAAATGAAGAATAAAAACCACATGATCATATCAATAGATGCCGAAAAAGCATTTGACAAAATCCATCATTCATTTCTGATAAAACACTCAGTAATGTGGGAATAGAGGGATCATATCTCGATATAATAAAGGCCATATATGAGAGACCTATAGCTAACATCATACTCAATGGGAAGAAAATAAAACATTTCCCTTAAGAACAGGAACAAGGCAGGGATGTCCACTTTCTCCACTCTTATTTAACACAGTACTGGAAGCCTTAGCCACACAATCAGCAAGAGAAAATAAAAGGGATCCAAATTGGAAAGGAGGAAGTGAGACTGTCATTATTTGCAGATGACATGATATTATACATAGAAAACACTAAAGATTCCATCAAAAATCTACTAGACTTAATAAATGAATTTGTCAAATTAGCAGGATACAAAATTAAAGTCAGGAAATCGATGGTATTCTTATACACCAATGATGAACTCACAGAAAGAGAAACTGAAAAAATAATCCCAGTTACCATCATGGCAAAAAAAATTAAGACACCAAGGAATAAACTTAAACAAAGCAGTAAAGGACCTATTTGCAGAAAACTAGAGGACATTGATTGAAAAAAGAAATAGAGGAAGATATAAAAAAGTGGAAGCATATACCTTTTTCATGGATTGGAAGAATTAACATCATTAAAATGTCCATATTACCCAAAGCAATCTGTAGATTCAATGCAATCTCCATCGAAATACCAATGACATATTTCACAGAACTAGAACAAATACTTCAAAAGTTCATATGGAACCAAAAAAAGACCCCAATATCCACAGCATGTTTGAAAAAGAAGGACAAAGTAGGTGGGATCACAATACCAGATATCAGGTTATACTACAAAGTGACTGTAATCAAAACAGCATGGTACTGGCACAAGAACAGGCATATAGACCAGTGGAACAGAATAGAGAACCCAGAAATGAACCCAAGGTAATATGCTCAATTAATATTTGACAATGGTGGCAAGAGCATACAGTGGAGTAAGGACAGCCTCTTTAATAAATGGTGTTGGGAAAATTGGACAGCTACATGCAAAAAAAAAAAAAATGAAACTAGACCATCAACTTACACCATACACAAAAATAAACTCAAAATGAATAAAAGACATAAAAGTGACCCGTGAATCCATAGAAATTCTAGAAGAAACTGTAGGTAACAAAATTTCGGACATCATACGCAGCAGAATTTTCACTGATACATCACCTAAGGCAACAGAAACAAAGGAGAAAAGGAACACATGGGAATACATCACACTCAAAAGCTTCTGCACAGCAAAAGAAACAACCATCAAAATGGAAAGGCAACCCACTGTATGGGAGAACATCATTGCCAATGATACATCAGATAAGGCGTTAATTTCCAAAATATATAGAGTACTCATACAACTCAACCAAAGGAAGACAAAGAACCCAATTAATAACTGGGCAGAGGAACTGAATAGACATCTCTCCAAACAAGACATACAAATGGCCAAGAGACATATGAAGAAATGTTCAACATCACTCATCAGAGAGACGTAAATTAAAACAATGAGGTATCACCTTACACCTGTCAGTATGGCCGCCATCAACAAATCATCAAACAACAAGTGTTGGCAAAGGTGTGCAGAAAACGGGACTCTAATACACTGCTGGTGGCAAAGCAGACTGGTGCAGCCACTATGGAAAACAATATGGTGCTACCTGAAGAAATTAAAAATTGAACTGCCATTTGACCCAGTGATCCTGCTTCTATGAATATACCCTAAGAAGCGTGAAACACCAATCAGAAAGAATATATGAACACCCATGTTCATAGCAGCACTATTTACAATAACTAAGATCTGGAAAGAGCCCAAGTGTTCATCAGTAGACGAATGGATAAAAATGCAGTGGTACATATACACAATGGAGTACTATGCAGTTGTAAGAAAGAACCGTCTCTTATCCTTTGAGACGATATGGAGGGACCTGGAAAGTATTATCCTAAGTGAAACAAGCCAAGCAGAAAAAAACAAGTACCACATGATCTCACTTATATATGTAATATAATGTACATAACAGTCTGAGGAATAGGGTAGACCCAGAAACATGGAAGTAGGGTACAGACTGATAACCCTCAGAAGGGGGGGGTTGTTGGGGGTGGGAAGAAAAAAACCACAGAACTTATATGAATGTATGCATAATCAATGGACATGGACAACAACGCCGGGGACGGGGAGAAGGGTATCAATGGGGTAAAAAAGGAGAAACATCTATAACAAAAATAAAATTAAAAAAATAATAAATAAATAAAATAAAATCCAATTGATTCTAAAACCTAGTCTTTTTCAAGTTCCTTTGTTTAAATGTGAACAGTGTTCAGATTTTTACATTAATTTTTAGTTTTACCCTGTTTTTCCACACATCAGAGAAAAATTTTAAGGGCCTTTATATTTGAACAGAAGAGGAAAATTTCATTGGCATATTGTTGATTCTTTACTTAACATTATAAGAAGACTTTCAACCATGACAAGCTAAACACATATGGCCTTACCTCTTGATAAAGGTCACTGAGATCTTCCTGGTGGGCCTGTTTGGAACATCCTGGGAATTCCCTGACACAACAGGAATCTGGGGGCCAATCCATCTCTGTCATTTCCAACCAGTCAGTGAAATACACTACTCCACAGCACTTGAACTGAAAAAAAAAAAAAAAAGACTTTTCAGGCTCAGAAATTATAAAAATATCTTCCTAATTTATAGGAGATTAAGTATTAGATTTCTTAAATTTCTGTAACCAAAGCCAATTTCATTTCTGTCATCACTTAATGACCTGTGTACCATCTATGTTGATGATAGAAATGCAGTAAAGGAGCATATAACGGGGCAATTCTGAACACTAATGCCCATAACCCATGAAAGCAGGTCAGGCGTGACTGAGTCTCACTCCCCAACTATAACATCCTCTACAAGTGATCATATAGTAACAGAGTTCATATACACAACTAACAAAACAAATAACTCAAATCTTATATTTATCACTAAGCCTCTAGGTACTGGAGAGTAGTTGATCAATCTATATATATTTGCCTACTTACCAGTTTAATTGCTTAAAAGGGCAAATATTACATTAAATTTTCTGTAATCTCTATAGAAAAATTTGTTGACCAAAGCCCCCATCATAAAGATTATTAGACTGGGATTCATTAACCAGAAAACTATTTAAAAATTTTTGAGATGTAAATGTAAGTTTGGACAATAAATTTTTATTCAACCAAATAAGATTCTTGCAATAAATTATCGTATTCTATGACATAAATCTCCGAAGAAATGATGTGCCTTTAACCTGAACAAAGTTTGATTTAAGAAAAGCTCTTTTGTCTTCTTTTCTTTTTGTCTCATTTCACCAAGGATTAGCAAATACTTTTTCTGGCCAAGGTTTAAATACACTGCTTAAGGACATATGTAGATTAGGTTCAGAATAATTAACTATGATAATTTTCTGCCCTTGGGTAAATGAGGTTACTCTTCATACAGTGAAAAAGAAGGGCTATGGGCAGTCTCTGAGAAGAACTCGGCTGAGTGACTGGCTCTGCAAATTATGTAGCCCAACAGATCCATCTGTGGCCAGGACTGACACTGTGCCATAAAATACCACAACCCACTCTTTGAAATTAAATTAAAATCCAGTTTGAAAAATTCTGAACTTCTCTTGGAAAATGAAACAAGGAAAATACTAAATATAATTTTACATTTTTTCATTTGCCTAATTATCTAATTTTTAAAGAGCAAAAATCACCTTAAGAGTATTATAAATGCTGACCACTCAGAGCAATACTAAAATTTTCCAAGAAACTTGAAAACATTTTTATTAATTTCCTTTTATAAACTTGTTCTAAAAGTGAAGACTATATATTATAGGTATCACAAATTAAGTCAAACATAATTTGACATCACCTAGTCTATGTTATTCAGATTCCATATAAAATCATATGTAATACAAATATTTTACTTTCTAAATATCATAAACTACTACATTTCCAAGTCAGTCCTTTAGAAATCTTTGCACTCGGAGAAAACTTAGCTCTCTCATTTTCTAATGACATGTGTTTTCCTAGGTTGATGACAGAAGAACAGTTCTTGGACCATTCTAACCCCATACACAATAGAACATCCCATTCATCTGGCCTTGTCAGGAAATGAGGTGCTCCACAGAAATGACTTTTTCCAAAGAACTTAAGCATATCACATTCAGTGCCAAACATTTTCTTCACTTTAATCAGTGACTGAGATATGTTTTTTTTATATATAGTTTTTTTCATCATCAACAGAAGATACTGAATTGAAATTTTTTCCTGAAAAATCCTTTAAGCAAACCCATTATTATTCCACACATGACTGTGGTCTGTATCTCTTTGTAGGGTACCTACCTCCTTCAAAACTGCATTGTAAGGGAGGACCACTCTTTCTAGCACTGCATAAATTTAAGAAAATATCATCACCATTTTATATACCAAAAAACTCAAACTCTGATGGGTCAAGTAACTTCCCATGATCACAGACCAGTAGGTGACAGAGCCTGTTTCTTCCAAAGCCTATTCTCCAACCACGACATTAAAATACATAAGCACGTTTTTTAAAAGGCAGGGTTTCTTTAAGGTAGTAAATAAGCATCACTTGGGCTTAAGTGAGAGTCCAGTAAGCTGAGGGACGTGCACAGAACAGCACTAAATGAGGAGCCAGGAACACTGGGGCTGGCAAGGTCACTCTTAGCTCTACCATTTGTGTTATAAGAAGGGTGTTATAGGTTGAATGTTATGTCACCCAGAGTTCACGTTGAAGTTCATCCCCAAACCGTGACCATATTTGAAGACAGTGTTTTACAGATGTAATTAAATTGAGGTCATTAGGGTGGGAGCTAAACCTATATGACTGATGTCCTTATAAGAAGATTCAATTTAAACACAAACACATACAGAGGAAGCCAACATGAAGACTCTAGGAGAAGGCAACTACCTATAAGCCCTGGAAAGAGGCCTCCAAAGAAACCAATCTTGCACACCTTGATCTCAGACTTTGAGCCTTCAGAACTGTGAGACGATATATTTCTGTGGTGTAAGCCCCCATTCTGTGGTGCTTTGTTACAGCCACAGCCCTGGAAAATTAGTGCAAGGGGTTTTTTAAAACTCAGGATTCCCAGAGGTCTTCATCACCTCCTCTGGGGTAAAGTAGGGCTACGATATGGAGGAGGAAATTTAGCATGCAACAAATCTAAAAATATGGGTGCTATCATTTGTGATGCTTGTATATTCTCTAAGTAGAGCTCCTCTTCCTACCACTGGGGGCGGGAAACTCGCTTTGTTTTTTTTAACCTGGATTATCATGGTCTACATTACAAACCCTCCAAAATAAAGAGATCTGGGCAGCTTCTACCTAGGGCAGTAGCTGAACACAGCTTTCTATAAATTCCCTAATGCTTTACTTATTTTCCTTGCATGTTGTTTTTAGTACAAATGAATAGTAAACAAACAAAGTCAGGAAGCATTTAAATAAACAGGAAATCTGTGTTACAATGATAATGTTCACCATCTCAACAACTGTAACACAAAGGGCCAGATTTGGAGATTATATTGGACTTGAACTTCTGCCCATATTCAAGCCACAGTGACTGAGCAGAAAGCTGGTTATCTGTCATGTAAGACACTGACTCTCAAACGCTTTGTGCCCCAGTTCTAAATAAAATTAAAGGAAACGGATATACTTGGTCATCTGGAAATGTCACTCCAGTCACAAGGAAACTGCTTGGGAGAGAAGCTTGGTGTGAAGCAAGATCAATGATTAACTTCAAGTCACCAGATTTTAAACATCTAAATGTAGTCCCTATTTGAGAAGATGATTGCATGCAGTGCTGTTATGGAAGTTAGGTAAGAAAAGCTAAGAGCACCTATACTTTGTAATGTTATTATTAATAACCATAAGCTAAGTAAGATCAAACTTATTTAATCATCTCAAGAACTCGAGGAGGTATTTTATTATCCCCATTTTATAAGTAAAGAATGAAGCTTAAAGAAATTAAGTAAATTATAGAAGCTCATGAAATAGTAAGCAACAGAGCCAGAATTTTCTGACTAGAAAGCTCATACCTTTAATAATATATTGACTCCGACTTCTCAAATGAGAATGATCATTTAAACATTTTAAAAGATGTTTAAAATACAAATAGCTCTAAAAGTTACAAAAAATTATTCAAATACAATTTCGATATGTATGAACTCTCATTAAAAAGAAACTTCACAATAGCTTAGTAAAAAGGGTTTTAAAAAATTCTAAACCATAGTGAAGCACTGAAAAGTAGAAGAAATGATACATGTGGGAAGAAAAGTAGAGCCTTCAGGTAGGTCTCGATAAAGAATCACACCAGTGGTAACTGAATCACAGGCTTAACTTTTCAGCACAGAGAAAGTGACCAAGGCCAAAGCTGTGAACATGTGTTTTGAAAGTGTGCCATTCAACCCATACCCTTTACCTCAGAAATTGTAGCATTTACCTCTCTCTGAAAAAAATTCCAAGCATGAGTAAGCCACTGGTATCTAGGTAAGCCATAATTTGTCATTCTGGCTTTTAAAGTGACCATGTCTGACCACTGTACTGGAACCTGATGATAAAAAAACAAAACAAAACAAAATATCAACAACTGTAACACACTATCCACAAACTCAATCACTCATAGTTTCATACACATACTCACACATACTTGGATTGTGTTGTAAATGACAAATACTTTATATTTGTTTGCAGCCTAAGTTAACTCTGAGCTACTAAATACTTACGAACAATCTCTACATGTAGATTTTTTGTACTAACTGATGAAGTACATCATATTAAGCAAAGTAATGTAAAATCATTTAATGCCAATATTGAGCTCAAGGAAATCACAGATCAAGTAAACTGTATTTATTCCACAGATACACCTGAAGAGCTCTTCATAGCAAATGATCCCCGCAGAGCAGCACCTTTCGGTTTCATTTCATAAAGTTGCAGTTTTTTGAAGTGACTGGAGATTATATAGATTTAACATAAAAGGGGGGGGGGGGGATTAAGAAGAACAAGAATTCAATTTAAGCTTCATTCTGGAATAAGCTTGTAAACACCTTTTCAAAATTTAGATTTTAGAGGAATGCTAGAATTCTAGAAAGATTAGTTCCCAAATTAAAGCACTGTTTGTTTCTGTTCTCAAGTCTCCTGGCACCATGTCTCTTAACAGATTGTTTAATCATGACAGAGCTTCAGGTACACAAGACAATGCTTGACCAGAAATCTAGTCAGCACAACACTGTTTTATTGACGGTGCCATGGGAGAACATGAGGCACACAAACCCTAGTTTCATGACACATGCAGTATTAAAGTAACTCTTGGGAGAGTAGACAGACATCCACACCTGATCTATGGACTAATACAGACCAGGCTTAGACAAGCAAGTTGGACACTAACTCAAGAATTCGATTATTTAGAAATTTAATTTTAAAAAATAGTGGTATCTATAGGGGTAGTTGAAAAATTCCTGACCACAGAAATTTTTCACTTTTTTCCTTTGTTAATTTTCTTTTTTATTACTTGGAAATGCACAATACAAAAGAAAACATCCATCATGTGGGCACACAACTTTGTTCCATACATAACAGACTGACTGGGTAAACTTACTGTTCATGTGGTTTCAACAAAGCTCAAGGAACTAGCTAAAGTTCAAGCTACTCACTATAAATTATTATTGTCTCATATCCTTGTGACCATAAAATACATGAAAGTGAATAAATTCTCTAGAAATTTATAATCTGACATGATATCATTAGTGGATTTTTTTTTGAGAGAGGAAATAATTAATAAGCGATGACTATATAAACAACAGAAAGATGGGAGAAACAGCCTGATGTGAAATCTTTTGGTTTGGTTATTGGAACAGACTTATTTTTTAATTTTATTTTCCAAAATAAATATAAGTTGTTCTCCCTTTTGACCACAGTCAATCTGAGACCAAATGTGTCAAGAAACAGAGGAGATCACCGAGATTCTGGAACAAAATACTGTGATCTGGCCACAAATGAAAACACATTTGAAGATTTTTTTTTTTTTTTTTTTTTTGGTACATGCCCCTAGCGGGAACCGAACCCAGGACTCTCTGGTCCTCAGGCCAATGCTCCAACCACTGAACCAAACTGGCCAGGGCAGAAAACACATTTATTGGCTCCTTGCATGGAACAGCTAAGAGCACAAAGACAATTCTATGCAAAGGCTGAGTTCTGCAATTTGGCAGCTAGTAAACTTTAATAGCACTTTTCACTCCTACTGCTGTTAGTGTAAAATCAATTTTTAAAATCTCTCAAACTTTTTTATAACAGACTACTTTCCATACTTTACTTTTAAGTAGGCCTTGCTCTATCCTGGTGGAGGGTACAATAATGGGGAAGATTTACATAAGCAAAAGAGTAATGTATGCTATCAACTGAGATGACAGGGTATACCCATCCATTACCACTATGATGCCTAAAAGATATTTGTAGACAGTATCTAACAATAAGTATAAATTCCTTTTAATTATCTCAAGTATATTAGAACTATATTAGGATCAAAATATTTCCACTCAAATACATTAAATTAATTCATTTCAAATGTGTTTCAACCTAGGAGATTTACAAAATATTATTATGACATAAACACTATAGAAACCATTTTTTAAATTCACAGAGAGTAAATACATTTCTAAAAACCTTTTAATTATCAAAAAAAAAACACAATCAAAAGCTGAAATGAAGGGATCAAGAATTAATTCTATAATTTACTGTTTTTTGCTTGAATATCAACAAGATACATGTATTTTTTAAAAACAGAAAAAAATTAAGAGACCATCTCTTTATCAATAAAACCCAGGAAACTGAAACCCAGGAAAAAACTAATGTTTCACTCCCTTATGTATACAGTTTCTAGGGTATGAAGAGTGAAAATACAATTCTCGAAGACACAAGAGTATCCCTATTTCATAGGAGTTTTAGTTTCCAGAAAGTTTTTAAGTTTACATTAAAATACTTAGAACCTGCCCTGAATTTTCAAATTCTAATAGAGAAATAAATAATTATAAATTCTTTCTTTTTACTGAGAGTTGTCCTACACTGGAAGCATACTGGTGGGGTGTGCTCAGGGGGCTTTTCAGAGGGGTTCAGACTAAAGGCAGTGCCAAAGCATAATTTACATATAAATTGGAGTATGCAGAGAACCCACTAGTCTGCAATTACCACTTAGTAATCAAAACAGTGTCACAGCATATTCACCATAAAATCTTTAATAACTGCATCAGTACCAAAAACAACTTCGGTTTTCTTACACAGCTGCCAAAATGCCTCTCTGAAACAAATACAAAATATTCTGCCTCTCTGTGTAAAACCTCTTAAATTTTACAGAGTTGAAGATTTGGTTGGGGAAACTGTCACACACCCACATCCTAGTCCTCTGCCCCTTTTCCCTCTGCCTTCCCCTCCATCCTGATTTAGCAGATCTGGCCTAGAGCCCTATAATGCATGTTTTTGAGAATCACCTTGGGTGACTCCTGCTAGACAGGCAGTCTAAGGACTACATGTTGAAAAGCACCATCTTACTGAAACAGAATTACTCTGTGTCACTTACGGTGGGAAAATCTGGCCTGTCACCCTGAAAACAGCCAGCAGTCACAGACATGTAGATGCGTTCAACATCATGGTGAGAAGCCTACCAATTTCCACCAATAAAGTGAACAAACATTAAATAAGTAACAATGCCCAATGTGAGAAAGAGTGAAGTGCAAATCGTAAAATCAAACACGATAGCTAAAATCTTAAGACTGAGAAACTGATTCTCATCCCTTCTAACATAACTATAAAAGTTGGTGTCATTCTTTCAAATGCAAAAATAAAGAGAAAAATGCTGAAGAGCTGTTTACATGTAGCCAAGTGTCAAACTGTGAAAGTGTTTCTAGGCTGGGGTAAACACACAAGCAATTCCTCAAATGTGCTTCTCAAAGGGGAAGATGGTTCAGCTTGTTGCAAACAGGGCAAACATGCCTCCTAGCCATGGGCGTATAGTTTTTTCATAAGGCTTTCAGGCAGATTTTCAAGCTTAAATCTTGTTGCAAATATGAATCTTTCCATACTATATACTCAGAAGTTGGTAAAATGACTTTACAACATATATTATTTTTAGCTTAAGCAATCTGTGGAATTAAAGACACATATAGTACGCCAAATGAAACATTGCAAATTATGGTTTGGAACTATGCTTTAGACACTGAAAGGAAAATGTTACTTTTCAGAAGTACTGGGACTATATGTTGTTATCATATAGTATAAATATTCAAATTAATATTTGTGTGCCTAAACTACTCCAAAGTATCTGATTTATAAGGCTGAACTGGATATTGTGTCCGATTGTGATTGTATCCCATTTTGAACTCACCATAATTTCCTGTTCATATGTCCAAACACCACAAGCCAGTTCTACACAGAAAATGACAAGTAAACTTCCAAAGTACTGTAGAAAAACAGAAAATTAATGCTGTTAGAGTAGAATCAAAGTAAAATATGGTCATCTGAGACAAGCTAAATATTACTCAATGTTGTTTATCCAGTGAAAAAGAAAAGAGGCAGCCCTGGCTGTTTTGGCTCAGCTGTTAGAGCCAAAGGTTCAATCCCCTGCCCTGAAAGGGGTCATGGGGGAGCAACCAATCAATGTTTCTCTCTCCCTCCCTCCCTCCCTTGCACTCTATCAAAAAATCAATGGGAAAATATCCTTGGATGAAGATTAACAAAAAAGAAAAAAGGCACAAATTTGGAAAGCTCCCTCAAGAATAGATGGGGGAATTTTCAGCAAATTTAGAGACATCTACAGATAATATGCAATACTCACCTAAGAGGGTCATTGGGACGGTGCTCTACTTATCATAACTTTCATAATTAATTTACTCAAAACTCTTGTGAAATGGATAGGACTACCTCATTTTATAAATGAGAACATTAATGCAAAAAGTAGATGATGTGAGTTGTGCAGGAATGTGCACAATAAATTTTGGAGGGCAAGACAGCTATGTTCTCTAGGCTATAACTTGTCACCTCTCCCGTTGTGGAAGTAACTTTGCAGAAGTAAGTAGCAAAAGTGTAAGAATGAATGGGCTCTCTGAAAGCTCTCTTCACTAATTCCAGCAGAAATAAAATATTGCCACTGTTCTTGATCTTCTACTCTGCCTATGGTGCGGGGTCAGGATGGGGGTACCAAGTAGTTGGGATTATTGATTATTTCCCTTCAGTGGGATGACAACGGCATTAAGGGTAGGGACACTATTGTGTTCCTCATCACAAAGCAGGTGTTCACTAAGTATCTGTTACATAAAAGAGTAAATGAAAACACAGCAAAGACAAACAAGAGTGATGGACCCTTAGCTAGACTCACCAAGAAACAAAGAGAAAGAACCCGAATACACAAAATCAGAAATGAAAGAGAAGTAGTAATGGACACCACAGAAACACAAAGGATTGTAAACAAATATTATGAACAATTATACAGCAACAAATTTGACAATCTAAGCAAAATGGACAAAGTTCTCGAAACACATAGTCTCCCAAAACTGAACTGGGAAGAGATAGAAAACATGAACAGACCGATAACAACAGAAGAAATTGAAGATGTAATCAAGACTCTCCCAGCAAACAAAAGCCCAGGCCTGGACAGCTTCACAGGGGAATTTTACCAAACATTCAAAGAAGAACTAATACCCATTCTCCTCAAACTATTTCAAAAATTCAAGAAGAAGGAAGTCTTCCAAACTCGTTTTATGAGGCCAGCATAATTCTAATTCAAAACTAGAAAAAGACACTACAAAGAAAGAAAACTATAGGCCGAAATACCTGGTGAATATAGATGCCAAAATCCTGAACAAAATACTAGCAAATCAAATCCAACAATACATCAAAAAAATTATTCACCATGACCAAGAGGGATTCATCCCAGGGAAGCAAGGCTGAAACAATATTGGCAAATCAATAAACGTGACAAACCACATAAATAAAATAAAAGATTATGATCATATCAATAGACACTGAAAAAGCATTAGATAAAATCCAGCACCCATTTCTGATAAAAACACTCAGCAATCTGGGAATAGAGGAATCATATCGTGACATAATAAAGGCCATATATGAAAGAACTACAGCCAACATCATATTCAATGGGCAAAAACTAAAAGTATTTTCTTTAAGAACAGGAACAAGACAGGGATGCTTACTTTCGCCACTCTTGTTTAACATAGTACTGGAAGTCTTAGCCACAGCAATCAAACAGGAAGAAAAAATAAAAGGGATCCAAATTGGAAAGGAGGAAGTGAAACTATCATTATTCACAGATGACATGATACTATACATAGAAAAACCCAAAGACTCCATCAAAAATCTACTAGACTTAATTAATGAATTTGGCAAAGTAGGAGAATACAAAATTAACGTCAAGAAATCAATGGCATTTTCATATCCCAATGATGAACTCACAGAAAGAGAAACTAAAAAAAAATCCCATTTACCATTGCAGCCAAAAAATTAAAATACCTAGGAATAAACTTAACCAAAGAAATAAAGGACTTATTCACAGAAAACTACAGGTCATTGAAAAAAGAAATAGAGGAAAAATTAAAAAGGTGGAAGCACATACCTTGTTCATGGATTAGAAGAATTAGCATCATTAAAATGTTCACACTACCCAAAGCAATCTATAGATTCAATGCAATACCCATCAAAATACCAATGACATAATTCACAGAATTAGAACAAATATTTCAAAACTTTATATGGAACCAAAAGAGATCCTGAATAGCCACAGCAATCTTGAAAAGGAAGAACAAGGTTGGAGGGATCACATTACCAGATTTCAGGTTATACTACAAAGCTACTGTAATCAAAACAGCCGGGTACTGGCACAAGAACAGGCAGATAGATCAATGGAACAGAATAGAGAAACGCAGAAATGGACCCAAGACAATATGCTCAATTAATATTTGACAAAGGGGGCAAGAGCATACAGTGGAGTAAAGACAGTCTCTTTACTAAATGGTGTTGGGAAAATTGGACAGCTACATGCAAAAAATATGAAACTAGACCATCAACTTACACCCTACACAAGAGTAAACTCAAAATGGATAAAAGACTTAAATGTGACTCATGTATCCATAAAAATCTAAGAAGAAACAGTAGGCAACAAAATTTCGGACATCATACGCAGCAGAATTTTCACTGATACATCACCTAAGGCAACAGACACAAAGGAGAAAATGAACACATGGGCATACATCACACTCGAAAGCTTCTGCACAGCAAAAGAAACAACCACCAAAATAAAAAGGCAACCCACTGTATGCGAGAGCATAATTGCCAACAATACATCAGATAAGGGGTTCATTTCCAAAATATATAGAGTGCTCATACAACTCAACAAAAGAAAGACAAAGAACCCAATTAAAAAATGGGCAGAGGAACTAAATAGACACCTCTCCAAACAGGACATACAAATGGCTAAGAGACATATGAAGAAATGCACACCATCACTAATCATCAGAGAGATACAAATTAAAACAACAATGAGGTATCACCTCACACCTCTCAGAATGGCCGCCGTCAACAAATCATCAAACAATAAGTGTTGGCAAGTGTGTGGAGAAAAGGGGACTCTAGTACACTGCTGGTAGGAATGCAGACTGGTGCAGCCACTATGGAAAACAATATGGTGTTACCTCATAAAATTAAAAATTGAACTTCCATTTGACCTAGTGATTCCACTTCTAGGAATATAGCCTAAGAAGCCTGACACACCAATCAGAAAGAATATATATACCCCTATGTTCATAGCAGCACTATTTACAATAGCTAAGATCTGAAAACAGCCCAAGTGTCCATCAGTAAACGAATGGATAAAAAAGCTGTGGTACATATACACAATGGAGTACTATGCAGCGGTAAGAAAGAAAGATCTCTTATCCTTTGAGATGACATGGAGGGACCTGGAAAGTATTATCCTAAGCAAAACAAGCCAAACTGAGAAAGACAAGTATCATACGATCTCAGTTATTTGTGGAATATAATGAACATAACAGTCTGAGGAATGGGGTGTCCCAGAGACGTGGAAGTGGGGTACAGACTGACAATCCCCAAAAGAGAGGGTGGGGAGGAGATAAACCACAGAACTTATATGCAAGTATATATGAACAATGGATATGGACAACAAATCTGGGGACAGGGCGAGGAGAAAAAGGAAAGGGGAATCAGTGGGGGGAAAGGAGAAACATCTGTAACAAAAATAAATAAATTAATAAAAAAATTTAAAAAAAAAGAAAACACAGCAGAGTGCTATGGTAGAAAGGGACCAGGAGATGCCTGGGCTGGGTGATCGGGAGAGGCCTCTTTATGAAATTAATCTTTAAGATGAGTCAGTAATCACAAGGAGAAGGTGATGCTGTGAAGATCAGTGGAAAAGCAATTCAGGAAGAGGAAATATCAAAAGCAAGGCCACCTTTCAGGGTGAGCTAGTTAGTTAAAAACTCGGTGGTACCTGGCGCAAAGAGAGGTGGGAAAGGTACTGGGGGTGTATGTAGATGACCTTGAGATACAAAGAGCCAGATCATCATGAGCTGTAGAAAGGCTTTTTTTCTTGGTATGTGCCCCTAGCGGGAACTGAACCCAGAACTCTCTGGTTCACAGGCTGACACTCCAACCACTGAGCCAAATCGGCCAGGGCTAGAAAGGATTTTGTACTTTATTCTAAGTGTAGTTGAAATCTATTAGCAGGTGACATGATCTGATGTACACTGTAAAAATATAGCTCTGGCCCTGGCTTGTGTGGCTCAGTGGTTAGAGTGTCGGCCCTCCCACTGAAGGGTCACGAGGTCCATTCCTGGTCCAGGGCGCATACCTGGGTTGCAGGTTTGATCCACGGCCCAAGTTGGGGCACATACAGGAGGCAACTGATGGATGTGTCTCTTTAATACTGACGTTTCTCTCTCACACTCTCCCTCCCATTATCCCATTCTTTCTAAAAATAAAAATCATTGGAAAAAAACATTCTGGGGTGAGGATTAACAATGTGTGTGTGTGTGTGTGTGTGTGTGTGTGTGTGTGTGTAATTCTGACTATTTTGTGAAAATTACATGTAGAAAAGTAAGGAGTAAGGGTGTGAATAAATAAAAGGTTGGTGAACTAAAATAATGACAGAAAAAATTTTAAAAGAATGGACTGATTTAGGATTGTGGGCCATCAAGACTTGAAATTTTAGTTTCTTTCCTCATAGTTTTTGCCACAAAAGGGGGGAGGGTAATAAAAGATACAGAAAATTGAGCTGATTTTCTACTACTGCCATGATATATCCCTTGTGACTCAAAAGTATAAATCACTATTAGTTTAATTTGCTTCTTCCATATAAAAAATGAAGAGTAGTAGCTGTATAATCTAGGCAATAATGTGGATTAAAACATAACTGATTCAAAAGTAAAGTAGTAT